AAATAGAAAGAAGAGAAAATAGAAAGTACAAAAATAGAAAGAAAGAAATAGAAAGAAAAAACTTTCTAAATCAATCCTTTCACAATCCTAGGAATATATACAGTTCTATTTTCAGATCTGAACCAATAACCCCACGTTTTCCAACAGTTGTCATGATACTCAACAATCTACCACTAGTTGATGTGTTTTCATCAGCTAGGGTCCCTTATTGTAGGAAACAAAAGACAGTCTCTCAATTTTCTACAAAAGCAGAACATTGTGCTATGTCATTGGCATGTAGTGAAATTGGGCTTTGTCCTCAAGCTTTCTTTTAGTTTCTTGACTTTGTTCTCTTTGAAGTTATCCTTCAATTCTTCCATCTTCATGAGAACCTTCAAGCTTCAATTTTCTCCTTGGCTTCAGTTTTGACCATAATGTTCAAGCTTTAGAATTCAGATTTCAGACTGAAAAGCTTCAAGATCTCCGTTCTCCTTCAACTTTGTCACTAACATTCTCTTAGTCAGATCAAAATATAAAGTTTTACTTTTCATAAATGCACCCATATATCATAATTTGTGATTAAGATGCCCTCTCTGTGTTTGAAGTTTGTCAGCCTCAAAGTCTCGGTGTCTCTTTCAGTATGTTCAAGTCTTAGTTCTCTGAGAGAACAGAGACTTAAAGGTTTTTTGTCTTTTGATTCTGAATTTTCTAGATTTCAATGATGGATGGTTGAGGGGTTAAAAATAGTGCAAAAAATGACATGTATAAATCCTGGGCTGTTCAGATTAAAATGGCCATGTTTCTAAGAATTGTCCAGTTGGATAAAAATTGGACAATCCAACCATGGTTTGACTGTGTTTTCAGAAATTATAAAACCAGGGGTTGCTAAAACTGAAATGATTGATAGATTCTGGTCCAGTCTGAATCTAACCACATTGGGCGGGGATACTTGTCTAATCTGGTCATTTTAATGGTCTTCATATTGCATGGATGTATACTTATGCTTTGTATACTTAATTAGCTTCAGTAATCTGTTTCATGATTATTAATCTATGTGCTGCTACCATAATACCATATCCTTTCTTAATACTGAGGTTTCTCTTAATAACAGTTTTAAATTCTTGTGCTACCTTTACTGGTTCTGTTTTGTTGGCATGATTGGCTTTTATTCTAGCACCTCTCTTCCAGAACAAGCTAAATTCTGTAGGGATCATTGTCACATGTTTTCTGGTTTCCAGATGTTCAGCTGTGCTTTAGTGACTTGCTGTAGCAATCATTATGCTTTTATTTTTGCACTTATATGGCAGCATGTTAGAATATGAAGGCTACTGTTTCGGTTTCTTTGTTGTGAAATTTCTATTATAGTAATGTGAATTGTGAATAATATTCATCCTTCTTTAGCTGAAACAGAGAGCCTTCAGGTGGAGAATATTGCATCATCCAGTCAGGAAAAGATGAATGTGAAAGGAAGTCATTTGAAACATAAGATGCGTCGCCGTTATGGGTATGGACATCTTTATTTTGGGCTTAGTTGTAATCTTTTGGTTTTTCTATTCTTAGGGAGATTTAGGGAGCTTACCTCTCCTTAATTTACCTTCTTTCTATTTAATGAAATTTCCAGTTATTGATAAAAAAGGGTATGCTTGCTTATTTTTTAAGTACCTATTTTCGCAGTAGTTTTGTAAAATGTTGTTTTATGCACTTATATAAATAAGTAGTAATTTTGAAAATAGTAATAAAAATCTAAAAAGCATAACCATGTTGAAGACACCGACAACTAGAAAAAAAATGCACCAATATCCTATGACCCAAAAATTCTGAATTTGGTGTAGGAATTGGAAAGCACCAACAACTTAATTCTCCATGGAATCTTTCCTTGTTTCCATATCTGCATCAAAGAGGCATCTTATGAAGAGTACCATGATGAATGCTACTAATTGATGCCCTATCATAATGAACATATTACTAATCACTAAACCATTATATGGCTATATTTTATGAATTAAAAATTGGTCTTCTACAATGTTCTTTTACATCTTTTACCCATTTTTATAAAATTGATACATTGTAGCGTAAAATCATTGGTTACCTGCCTTCATAAAGCATTGGGGGTCTTGGGGTTTGATGGTAGGCTACCTTTGCCATTGTGAAGCCTATTTGTCTCATTTTTTGAGACTTTAACTCAGCCTTCTGATCCCATTGGGTTGTCTTTCCCGGTTAAAGAAATTTGGAGTAGACCCATTCCTCCTCGGGTTGGTAGTTTTTGCTAGGAAACTTTTCTGGAAAGAATTAACACAAATGACCTACTTCAGAAGAAGAGACCCAACTCTTGTTTACTTCCCAATAGATGTACTCTCTATAAAGCTGATGGGGAAATTAGTTACCACCTTATGGTTACTTGTTCGGTTGCTAAATCAGTTTGGGAGTGGGCCTTTTCCCTTTTTGGATGTGTTTGGATACCCCCTGGGAGTGTCCAAAGCTTGTTCTCTCCCTCCTTTTTTCAGATGGCCGAAGAAGAGAGGGAAGACTATGTGGAGAAGCATCAGGGCTGCAGTGTGTTGGACTCTATGGGAAGAAAAAAACTCGCGAATATTTTCAGATAAGGAAAGAACTATCGGAAACTTATTGGATCTAATTCTGTTAAGGGTGGCACATTGGTTGAAAACTATGAAAATGTTCTCAGATTTTTCTGTAGCTGATTTGGTGAGAAATTGGAAGGAGATAGCTTCCTCTGCCCTCTGTAAGAGGAGCTGTAGTCCTTTGTGGTTCCCTCCTTCTGGGTTCATAAAACTGAATTTTGATGGCAGCTGTTTAAGGAACCCAGGGCCTTCTGGGATTGGGAGAGTATTCAGGAATGAGGTGGGGGCTATTATTGCTATGTTTTCAGGCCCAATTGAGGAAGGAGACTCTCTTAGGGCTGAGATCCTCACAGCCCTTGAAGACATCCAAAGAGCAAGGAAGCTGAACATCAGATGTTTGGTCCTTGTAGGTGACTCGGAGGTGGTGATTAGGTGGCTAAAAAGGGGAGACAACGGCTTATGGAGTTATAACAATGAGAGGAATAAATTTAAATGGCTGAGTAGGGATATGGTGGTTCATTACAACTGGGTGAAGAGGACTGCTAATTCCTTTGCTGATGGGTTAGCAAAGCAAGGGGTGAATAGGGATTCGATTTTTTGGGCTAATTTTTTATTTTTCCTTGTACTCTTTGATGGGGAGTTAAGTCTTTTTACCTCCCCTTTGTACCTAAACTTCACATAGTTTCTTGTTATTGATAAAAAAAAAGCCTATTTGCCTTGCGAAATGGTAAACATCTTGGGCTGACAAGCATGAGAATGTGGGTTCAAATCTGAATGTGGCCACTAAAAGGGATGGTGGAATCCGTCGTATGGACGCCGAAACAGTTGCGGAATGGGTGGGCGAATTTCAAAAATTTTCTACCTACCTTTCAACTGGGAATCGCGTTCCCTAATTTTAGAATCAAGATTCAAGGATCCTATTTGAACCAGAACCGAACCAGATCTGAACCAAAAGAGAAGGGAGTAATTATTACCTAATCCAAAGAAATAATATCTCCCAAAGTTGGTGTTCACGCCCAAAGAAGGCACCAAGATCTGCTCCTGCTGAAGATGGCACAACAACTGTGGAACAGAACCAGCAGAGTGCGTCCCACACACTAAATCCTTCACAAGAATCCTTTGGATGACAATGAGCACCAAAACCAAATCAGCCTTTCAACAAAGACTGATATCAAGAACTTTTCTTGATCTTTCTTTGACAGAGAAAACGAACTGCAATAGATAGTGGCGGCTGCAACAGGAGGGAGCTAGAGAAGAAGATGGCGAACTGCTTTTTCTTCTCTAGGGTTTCTGAGATTCTATCTCACAAAACTGCAGGGTGTGTTCTGTGTAAAACCCCTAGGGTTCGAATTCTTGTAATTCGAATAGGGTTTTCTCCAGTTGCTTAATGATTAAGAAAAGATCTCCTGATCATATCAGGAGTTGCCCTTATCCAAATCTGTATTTGGATTAGGACTCTTCTTAATCCTATCTGCAGATTAGATAAGCTTTTGGGCTCATCCTAATCTCAGATCCGCCCCTTGTTAATGGCTGATCAAATCAGCCCAGTTCAAAATGGGCTTTAGGCCCAATAAGGTTATGTGCTCAAATGTCTTCCAAAACTGCTGCCCAGTTGGGCTTCTTTGTATGGCGTGGGACCCAAGCATTGATCTACACACCAGCCACATGGGTTCGGCTCAGCCTTTGTTAAAAGGCCTGGCCGAATTCACTGTAGAGCCCTGTGAACCCCTTGAGCCCATCATATGGACCCTATGGGCCCAACACTTACACTAAGTGGTCCCTAGGCCGCCATCTTATAAAAACCCAGGGACTGTGGGTAGGTGCAAGATTAGCCCATCAGGTGTTATTCCAAATGACCTTACACGTAACCTCTCAGCCCATAATGATCAAGCACTGCCCGACAAGAGAGGACCTCTCCCTCGGCTGCAAGGAACAGTGTTGCACTCTCTACTTACATGGATCCCGGGAATTAAAACCATTTGCAAA